TTTATATTTTGGTACAAATACAATAGAAAATATCAAAATATATTTTTAATTTTAATGAGAGCGTTATATATATATATTGGGCACCTGTGTCTTATCTGCGTTAAAGGGTTAATTTTTCATTATATAGTTAAATATTATAATCTAGATCATGGTCTCTGACTTTTATTACCTTTCCATAAATTAAAACCACTAAGAATTTCTTTATATTTCGCTCCATTATGAAAATCAACGGCAAATCATTTTCTTGGCCGGTTTTTCAGCCCACTAAAATCTTGTTTAGAAGTAAACAAATGACAAATATTATTGAAATACTACTGGAAAATTATTATTTGAAATAAAGAAAAGAATCATAAGAGAGGTGTGTGGGACCAAGAACTAAGAAAGGAAAACAGATTTTACAAGATGGTTTACAAGAGTTGGGCTAAACATATCTTTATAATTTGGTCTGCCCTGCCTAAAATGTTAAACTGATCTACTTGCAATCATTTTTTATAAACAAATAGTTCATTACATTTTTACTGCAAATTTCTGAGTTCATTTTTAATAGTACTAGAATAATTATTTTGAATAATAAAGGGTAGTTACTGACATATAACTATTGTGATTTACATCATTAGCATAATGCACTGACTTAGAAAAATTGTAAATACGATAATGAACTATCCATGTTTTAATATTACAGATTATCGATATTTTAATATTAGAGATTGTCCATATTTTAATAAAAGAAATTATTCATATTTTATTATAAGAGATTATCCATATTTTAATATTAATGATTAATTCCATATTAGTGATATAAGTGATTAATATTAGTGATTATTATTATTTTAATATTAGAAATTATCCCTTTTTTAATATTAGGGAATATTTATATTCTAATGTTAGAAATTATTTATATTTTATTAGTAAAGATTATCTATATTCTAACATTAGAGCTTATCCATATTTTAATATTAGTTATTTAATATTAGATTTTCCATATTTTAATATTAGTTATTTAACATTAGATTTTCCATATTTTTATACTAAAGATTGAGATTGAAGTAAAACAGATTAAAAATGTTTCATTTATGTAAGATCTGAGTAAAATAGATTATGGTTTATTCGTTTTCATATATTTTCGCGAAATTCTTTTTCTATTTAATAAGTATATCGTAGATATAAATGATTACAAAACAGAAGAAAAAAATAACTTCATCATTTTAATACTTCCATTTAAAACATCAATAGATCCACCTGATAGTCATCAGAAGGAGAAAGTCGAAATTTTTTATATTAAATTCCCCAGTGACTTTCCCTGAAGAGTTATGGGAGCCCCACGCGTGATTCATGCTGGGGCTACCCCCTTTTCCTTCAACCCAATGGCAATTAAGCCCTTCATCCATTCCATTAAAGGGGATAGGGGAAGCCGGGCAAAATGGAGGGGGAAAAAATTGAATTTCACTGGTGGGAAGAGTGCAATGACCTCCACCTTGCAGAGAAAGAGACAAAGAATAAAAACTTTTAGAAACACTATGAAAAAAAGGATTGCTCAGCATTGTTTCAAAATTTTTGCGTTCTGACAAATGTTAGAAGGAAAAAAAAGAAGAAAAAAAGAATTACATTGAAACTGTTAAAAAAATGTATCAAACACGCATACCAGTTCCTTTTATTCAAGCAATGCACCTGTTAATTTTTTTTTCTATTGTCTAAATGTAGTCGTAATTGACGATTCGGTAAAAAGGAAATAATGTTCTCTAATCATATCAATCATATAAATGGAAAAAATAAGAAAAGTTTCTATATTTCTTTTTATATTCCATTAATTCATCGTTTTTTTTTTTTTTAAAAAGCAACAAACAAACTAAAAAACGGTGATAGTTTTTTTTTGTATTATTAATAAATATGATAACAATTTATATGAGTATATGATTTTTAATTTCTTTTACATCTGTTCAAAAGGATAATTTTTTTTTATTCAGTATTTAAAAGACTGTGCAGATCACGTTTTTGAAAAATTAATACACAGAATTTTTATTACGTTACTACGGTGGTTTAAAAGATCTGACCGAAAAAAAATTTTTTTTGATACAAAGAAATAGTAGATATTTGCGTATTTACAACTGTTTCATGGAAAACCATACATCTTAAAAAGTAATAAAACGAAAATATAAAAGTTTTAATACAGAATTTGCTCAGTTCCAATTTTTTTTTATAGATTTGATCTGATTATTAATAATTTGAATTTAGACACAAACTGATTACAAATTTGCACAACGGTTTTCATGTAAATTTTAAACTTCAAAATTTTTTATAACTTAAAAATATCCCCCCCCCCAAATTGAGCTCAGTTCTATCTCTAACAATTTTATAAAAATTTTTAAACAATTATTTTTATTATATAAAAATCTGGGAAATTATTTCACTGTGTTACTAGCATAAAAATCATACACAATTTAAGTCCTCCAAAATATTTATACATTCTTTTGCATGTCTAAAAAGATGCCCATATACAACGTAAAAAAACGTCAATGCTGCAGTTACTATAACAAATGGAAATAATTCCAATAAAATTATTGTAACATACTATGTAATTTATCATAACAACAAATGATGCACTTCTATAATAAATAATACTTGTGAAAAAGTCTTCGTGTACTTGAAAAGTATAATTCTCCGATAATTGATTATGCCGTTCAACTATTTTCTATCAATTTTGCTCAAATAATTCATTGAATGTTTAGTTTAATCAATATAATTCTCTTCTCAATGTATAATAACTTGTTTAATGTATACAAATGCTTGAATACAAATTGGTAAATAAACATCCCCCCATTTAAATAAACCTTATTTTCGCTTGTCAAATTAAATAATACATCATGCAATAAACTTTAACATATGGCATAATTTATACATTAAACTGACTTAAACACATGGCAGGATCAAGTTTCATCTAGTTTCTACAAAGTTTAAACAAAACAAATAAATGAAAAAAAAAAAGATTAAAAAAAACTTAAAAAAATGACGCTTGATAAATATTTATACCGTTTGCTGCTTTCGGAAATTATAAATACAAATGGGTGTTAAAAACTCTAGAATGTTTTACCACAGGCTAATTATTGCAGTGAAGTGGGGAGTACCCTTGATACAACTCTCAAACAGAAAATAAATAACTTAACGGAAGAATAAACTTATAGTCTGCCCTTGAGAAAGCAACGTATTTTCTGTTGTCACGCGACTTTATTATTATTTTTTTCTTTTAATTCATTTCCACTTTCTGAGAAGGCGGGAGGATTCAAAACTACTTTCACATTCAAGTGCGACAAGTAAATCGGGATGTGTGAGGAAGAACTTGATGAACACATAAGTCAGAAGCATGTTTTTTCAGCAATGCGCGAAAGATACTGTTTATCTTCGCTTAAAAAAAGGGAGAAAAAAATGATAAATTAATAACATATTTAATAAGTAGCGTGTTTTTATTTATATCAGAATAAAATGGTTCGCAAAATTATTTTTGCCTGCAATTTTAAAATACATCATCAATGTTATTATTAAAAATTAAAATTTATTTGTAAGGAGTTCATCATTTAACTTTTCAATATACTGTGTCCGTAAAAATTAAAAATATTTAACAAGAAGTTTTCTGGGAGAAGTAGGAAGTTTTTTTTAAAAATGATATATTAAGCATGTAATAGGAATAAAACTTACAGAGTGGTTTATCATTTCTAAATAATAATAATAATAAAATTACAATTGAGGGGAAAAATCAATACTTTTGGTAAAATCAATAAGAAACCAGAATTTTAGCAAAATAACTAAATATTATGTTTTTTTTCTCTTATGATAACAATTCTAATAAAATAAGCCGGTGGATATAATGTAAGATGAAATGACATTTAATGGAATACATATTTTCTTAAATACAAAGAAGAATCGCGAGATAATGATAACCCACTTTTTGCTGTTTCTTAGTTTCTTGAAAAAATATAAAAGTTTCAACTAATTTTTATAGATTTGTATCAATCTACGGAGTAGTGAAAATGTTAAATACGTATAATGAAAGAATTTTGCTTAATATTAATCTAATATTTTTCCCCCCAATGTCCACCCGATTGACATTTGTCAATCACGTATGAGGAGGGCAAAGTTGTTAGATGTTGAGAATGAAAGAACATTCATGCCTTGTCCGGGATTCAAACCGACGATCTTTCTGATGTGAGGTTAGCTCCTTGATCACTAAGCAGTCAGGTTGGAGAATTAATCTAATATTACATCATAAAATTGAAATGAGGGCTAAAACAAAACTAACACAACGCACTTCACTTTAGAAATTCTCGATTACTTCTTTTTCTTTTCCAATTTGCCTTTTTTTGTGACTGTCTCGCAATAAAGCCTTCAATATAACTAATGTTTTGTATAAAAAGTAATCAAAGATTATTTGTAAATTATTTTTTTTTTAATTTAAAAGACAAAATTTATAACGATTTCAAAAACTTAATATTTTAAGCTTTCAAATAAAACGTTCTCATAAGTCAAATAAATAATGGAATTTTGGCAGTCAAAAATTATTCTTTTAATCAATTTGTGTAATATTAAGACAGTGTATTAATTCTTACAATAAATAATTAATCATTCATAACAGTTAATGTATGTTTAATTTTGAGATTGAAATAACAAAATAAAAACTTTTTAGAAATTTTTTAACGTTGTGTTTGAGTCAAGTCCATCTATTCGTAAAATCGAATTAATCTAGTTAATACTATTAGACACCGATAAAAAAATTGCTTTTTTTTCCACTTTAAAATCGAACATTTAGCGTATCTTTCGCATGGACTTTTAACATTTTAATTGATATCTATTTTTGATAACGTTTTATATCCAATAGAGCTAATTAAAAATATTTATTATACCAGGAAACCATATGAATAGATAATTGCAATACATTAAAATAAGAAAAAACCTTTATAAAATTATATTTTACAGGGAAAGATAACTGAAAAAAAAATGAAGACACTTACATTTTTAGTCACCAATTTAGCTCGAATAACCACAAGTCTTCTGCGATGTATTCGGGAATGAATAAAAGGCTTGATATCTGTACCTTTGCAATAATTTGAATAAAGTTTAGCATTCTGGAAATCTATGACGAGATAATAAAGAGGATATGATTTCTTGTTTACATCTGGAGTGATCGCTGAAGGCATATTTGTAGGTAATTAAGATTCCGAAAATATTTTTCTACAATTTCAAAATACTAAATGAACATTAATTATTTTAATCTTCTTTATATTCAATAAAAAATAATCTTTAGCTCTTATCTATCCTTTTTACGTATTAAGAAAAAAATACGTTAAAATCGTTTTTAACCGGAAAGATAGGGGAAAATAGCAGTAACTCTGTAGCAGTCATAACGTTGTATCGAGTATTATCAATGACGAGAATTCAGAATTCATCTATAACACGTGCTCGGTGTTTTCTTTCGGCTCTTGGGATAAGAGTCTATCGAGCGGTGCCTCCCGCTACTCCAAGGGTTGCCAAAAACTCAGCTAGTAAGAGGTTTTTCGCCAAGTCTCTTGCAGATTGATTGTAGGATGTTTTTAAGTGAGACTTTTTAAAATAGGCCTTATTATGTTTAAAATGTCATAGGTTTTATTTTTTATTTGGTAAAACTTTAAGCACACTGGGAAACATTTTCTAAAAGCAGAATGTATGGATCAATGATGCATTCATACATTCATGCAACAAATCATTCAAAAATTGATGATAAGTTTACAAAAATTTTTAGGATGGTTCAGAAAGAAAATACATATAGAAAAAGTTAAACAAATTAATTAATTTATTTGGGAAGTAAATTCAAGATTGAAATATATCTGCGATTTAAATGACAAGGTTTATATATTTTTAAAGGTTATATATTTTATGGTAGTACATGTTTACTGGTTGAATTTCATTACTGTTAAAAGTGAAATTTCCATTCAAAAGAATTTTGAAAACTTTAATTTCACAAAAGAATAAATTCGACAACTTGTGGATTATTTATACAATTTCGTTTGAAATTTAACAGCATAATTGTGGTTTAGATATACATAATTTTTATTGTGTTTTTAATTAAACATTTAAGCACAAACTTTAAGTTTATATTTTGTTCAATAATGCAACCTTTTTAATAAAACTAAACTGCATCAATGATATGCAAGCTTTAATGAATTACATTATGAAATATACGTATATAAATTTTTGAAAAAATATATGTACATTAACTGTTAAGAAATTGGCTGGAGTTGTATAAAATTATGTAAAAATAAATTGAGTAGTTTTTTATTAGATCCATGAAGTTAATTTAAGGAAAGTTTTCTTTCTTAAATGTTTAATTCTTAGCATTAACCGAATGCCAAAAAAGTAAATAATTTTTTAAGAATGTAATAGTTACTCTTTTGTATAAAATGATTAGTTTCTGAAATCTACCATATTAAATAACGTGGTTAAAAGAACGCTTTTGTTTTAAACTTAGTTTGGGTTAATAATTATAAAAACATTCGTTAACATACAAGCATTATTTAAACTTATAGTGTCTTTTTGCTGAAATATAAGTATTTTTTTGCCAAATTTGGTCTATCCCATATACATTTTGGAGAATGTCGTACTGAAAACAAAGGAAATATTTTTTGTATTATTTAGAAATCGTAGTTTCCTATTATTTTAATTATTTTAATATTCTAAATTATTGCAATATTTTTTTATTTTATAATTTTCTTTTTCTGCGATGATTTCGTTATATTTCATAACAATTTAAAAATTAATTTTTCTAGATTGGAGAAAAAAATTGAGAGATGCATTTCGATTAAAACTTTGCTCATAAAATTGTAATTAATTGATATAAAACATTTAAGTAGTTTAACTGCTCTATTAAACTGCTCTGACTATTTTCCATTCTTACAATGAAATATTTTAGTTTATCACAGTTTTTTTTTCATTTAAGACGAAATATACAGTTATACACAGTTACAGAATTTATAAGTTCATTTATAAAATATATGAATTTAAATGAATATCTTAAGATGAATGAAAGATAAACCTAGAAAACAGAAATTTTGATTCTGGACTATTTTGGGCGATAAATAAGCAAATATTGCTCTTGGGTTGGAGCCAATCATCAAACGTGTTGACAACTCTTCCGACTGAGATGTGGTCGCTAAGCAACGGAGGATAGTTTTTGTTTTAAAACCCTACTGTGAGGCAGCTGTTTTTAAACTCCCGCATTGAAATGAGCAAATAAAAGGCTGTGATCTTAGCAAAATTGGCTTTTATTTTAAATAATATTATAATCAACTGTTTTAAAAGTAAAAACCAGAAAAAATAATTGAAATAGTTAATCAAATAAATGATAGATAGTTTAAACTACATGTTAATTATTAATCATATGAAAATTAAAGAAAGAATTCCCAATATCAACGAAAAAAATTTAAAATCGAAAGTGAAAATTTAGATCATGAATAAAAATTCATTCCAGTGGTGTGAAGGGAAGAGAGAAGACGACGCCAAGTTAAATCCATTCGATGACTAAAAACAACAATACTTATTTTCTGCCAGGATTATGAAATTTATTTTTAAATCGAAAAATGCTTGGTTTAAGCAAAATGCTTTATGATGAATAAGATGTGATTTTCAATCAGGCTTATTAATGAAATTTTGCTCTTTAAAATTTAAATATTTTTTATATTTTAGAAAAATGTAAGAGCTTTATATTAAAAATAATTTTTTTTTTTTTAACCAAAGAACAAATTTAACTTATAATAGGATTATTTATAAATGTTATGCATATTTCAAGCGTTTTTTTTTCTTTTTTTCCGCACCTCTGAATCTAATTACTTCTTTAGAGGCATTTAATCAAGAAGTTTGTTTCGTCCCTTCGCACATGCCTCTACGCCTCTGACGGAGTCTAAAATTTCAAATTCAAAAGACTAAGATTTAGATTGATGAGACATTAAAAATATTGCAATTTTAGCTTAAATCATTTATATTAATGATTAGTTTGGTAAGCTTTATTATTATTATAACCGCCAGAACTTTTTGCATCAAAAACTTCGCCATAAAATTTGAATAAAATCTTGAAATTACAGGCAGTACCGGTAGCGATGATTTTAACCGAAGTGTCAAAACAGTTAACAAAGTAGCTATATAGAAATTAAAATATTATTACAAATCAAATTCAACTGTTATATGCTAAATTTAATACATATATACTTATTGATTAAAAAAAATGAAGTTTTAAAAAATGTAACTTCAAACATTTTTTCTTCTAATTTTTTCCCCATAACATATGCTGATTTAATTTTAAATGCGTATAAAATAACATACAAAATAATGTTCAATTATTTATCTTTAGATTGTAGTTAATTTTTAAATTGAAATATTTATTTTACTCATGAAAATTTTGCATTAATAATATTTCTTTAATTATAAACTCCTCACCGTAAAAGGACACAACCCACCTCAGATAGATTTTGATAAAATTTGATAAAAACATAAGTTAATGTTATACAAATAAAATAGTTATTGAATAATTATAATATACAGGCATGATCGCGCATAACTCTCATAGGAGTCTAATGGTATGAAAAAGTCGTTTCAGAATCAAACAAAGGAGAAAAAAGGTTGTTAAGAGGTATAGTCCCACACAGTATATTTTCTACAGCATATACTGTAAAAAAAATTCTGAATCAAGTTGCGGTAAGAAATACCAGCACTAAGGGTGCTGGTATTTTTTACTGTAAAATCCCTTTTTACCGGAACATGTTACGGAACAAAAAATCGGATATACCGTAATTTTTACTGTAAAATTTCCATACAATTACTCAATCACTCGAATTAAATAAATATGTCTAAAGGCTTCCTGCTATGATTTCATCCTGGAAATAAAAGCAGTTTGATGTTGGATGTTGTCTACAGCTAGCTACACACCTCTCCAGCCCTTTGGAAGAGGCATTGTGGTTGGTGAGAGCTTGGCGAACAAAGAGCACGGAACTCAAAGAGAACTCAGAGTATCCTTTGGCCAAGGGTGAGAGATAAAGGGATATAGGAGTCCTATGTCGTATAGTCGTACTGTCAGTTCAGATTTCATTTAAATTCACAGTACCACTAGTACACAGGGAGTTCATCTAGTTGACGATTTTTTTAAGAGTTAGGGTATCCGTAATATGGATTGGCCAGCCAAACACTCCCGACTTCAGCTTTATTAGACATGCCTGGGACATGCTGGAGAAGGCGGATGCATTTCGCAATTTATTCCGGTAACAATTGGGGTCCGAAAAACAACGTTGCTGTACGAGTAGGACTAATTGCTGAAGAAGCTTTTAATTTTTTTTTCTTCAGTAGGAAATTAAAGGGTGAAATCTTGCTGTATATGATGAATAATATCATGTGAAGGAGAAACCCCCTATTAATCCATTTTTCTAGCTCATCTCTCTGTAACCTTTGTTTAATACGATCTGACTTCGACACGTGAACATGTTTGCTGCTTTTAACTGTTGAATGGTTGTTTTATTTGCACGATATTAACCTGTGTTCATACGAAATTTCATTAAAATCTCCCTAGCAACTCTGGAGACAATTGGCCAAATCTAGAAATTCTCTTAATTTTCAATTCAAGGGCAAAAAGAATAATAAATAGCGTAGAAATATAAGTTTATTCTATAGTAATTTTTTCGAAAATATAGATAAAAAAATCTAATATAAGTAAAAAAAGTCTTATATATTTTATATCGGATTGTCAAAACTGATGGGAACAACTGAGGATAGAAATTATCGAATTATTCTTTGGTAGACAAGTGGAAGACTAAGCTATCTAATTTAATAGAGTCCATTTTACAAAAGAATAATTTTAACAATAGAATTTATGATTACAGTTTGGAAATCATGCAGAATTTAAAACCGTTTCTTTAGGGTTAAAAGAACTCTAATACTTAAAATATTTTACTCTTCATTGTATTTTACAGCGATTAGAAATTTAAATGAGAAAGAAAACGTAATTTATATATTTAAATTATTTTGTTCTAAACGAATTCCGTTATAACTCATCCAACAAAACGATTTTTACAGTTCTTTTATTTTATTTGTTATACTTTCTCTTCTCCAACTGAGTGATTTATGCTCATGAGATAGAGCTGAAAAATAATAACATATAAATAATGAACTATTTTTTGAGCAATTTAAAGGGAATAAAAATAAATGATTAAATTTTTTTTAAAGTTAATTTTTAAGGGCAAATTTGATTTTTTTAAAAATAAATTATAAATTATTTTAGTAAATTATAAATTATGGAATACTTATTTTTCACAACACTACAAATACTGTAATGTACATAAAATAGATACTAACTAATTTTTTCAAAAATTTTGAACAATTTTTTTCGTGTACGCATTTAGAAAAATTTATTCTACGTTGAACCATTTTTTCTGAACTGTAAACTATAACTTTGGCTCAAATTTGCTGCAACGTTAAATTGAATTATTCTTCCATTAAAAATGAATTTTAGTATCACGTAATTTCTGAGGTATAATGCTATGGTTCAACTTAGCATTATACATAGTAAATGTTGCAGCTAATTTAAACCATATCCTGAGTTTAAAACGATTTAAATTTCTAAAAGTGTTATATATCATTCATTCTTAGATAATTATGTTTTTTTTCACTC